AATCAGTCGACCTTATCGCCTGAAGAAGACTAGCAGTAAGCAGTCGAAACGTCGCGATCTACATCTAAAGAGACTACATCGTGTGACAAACGATAATACACTTTATTGTCAGAGGTATATTATATTCTTATAGCGATCCTCCCACTTTTCTTTGTTTGGATCGGGGGCGGGGACGAGGGGGGGGGGAAGAAACCTATAAAATGATAGCTGTACATATTCAGTAAGTTTGTTTTCAGCTCCCATAAAAGATCATTGGCTCTTGTGGCGCCCGCCGAACTACCCATGACGAGAGCTGGCCTTTGTTTCACTTCCGAAAGCATCCCCTTTGACCAAAATTGGCATCATGCACTTATAGCCTCTGTTCATACTTGGAGCCTGAGCACAGTGCCCGAGAACGATTCTCAGTGGGGACTAATATAATGTGAACTAACCTTTTTTTAAAGTACTTTGCCCGGGTACAAGGTTTCGACTCTGGCACTAAAAGATACTCAAGTACGTTGGAGTACCGGCCCAGTGTCTGAATGCAACACTATTTTGTGCGTGTACCCAGGCACCAGTGCTCCGTCATCAAGTCACTGAGAACACTGATTTATACATTAGGTCTGCTGGAAGAAAAGATCCTTCCAGTGATACAGGAAAATCCTTAGAAATTTGAATGAAAAATCCGAAGGAAAATTCCTCTCTACTGCACTTGGCTACAGTAATCCTTGGTACGAATTTCTCGATCGATGATTCTTTCTCGGGAATTCCTGAACTGGGGCAAAACCCAGCAAAAGGCCAACAACTGCAGCAAAAGATGCGAGTCTATTTAATAGAGGTTTTGAACAATAGAAATTACCAAAATAAAATTCATGTTAGAGTTGGAGTCCGCTTTCGCTAGTAGAGGTGTCCGCTGTATCCGGAATAGGGGCTCGTTATAAATGTAATACCGTGTGCCTCCGTTTCAAAACGAGTCCTCGTGCAAACTTTTGATATGCAAATAAGCTTGGTATATATGATAAGGAACGTGCTGGTGAAACATACTCTCCGCATATGAATGGTTACGCACGAAGACTCGGTTTCACACAGAGGCAAGGGGAAATAGCCTATCAATATGAATTTAGCGTAATGTGTTGTGACCGTTCAGATATTATATTTGAAAATGACCTGGGGTAGCCCGCCAGTGACGCATTCGTTTTAGGTAAAAATCAATCACGGACTCATTATTTCCCAAACAGAATGGAACTGAATCCCGGCAAAGAAGAACTGAGTGCGTTAGTCTTAAAATAGGTAAATTTTCCTTATTGACTGCCCTTAATTATCAACATTAAGGGGACAGTGAATGGGCTGCGCGTGTGCAAGATTGCTTTCTCCACATCGGCTTAAAATTCCTCTGGAGAGGGAATATTTAACCGTACTGTGTTGAACTAACAGAAAGTATAATTCTCAAAACTAAATTATTTTGAGGCCAGTTGACGTTGAAAAAACTCGTGCCGTGTTTCCGGCCCCGTCTGGTCGCAGCGTGATCAAGACAACTACATAATTCACCAGTGCGCACTAATGTTGTTTCGTGTAAATATTTTTTTTTTTCTCTAGTATATCTCTACAGATTTCTGACTTGAACACTGCTACTAACAGCTTCGTTAATGCAGAATATACAATACTTGACGATTTAATGGTCACGATGTGAAAACAGCTTACAAATCTTGTTGCATTGCATTCCAGTTACTGTCAAATTGCAACACGATCCACACACTTTTCAAATTCACAGCGCTATTCGTCTCATGCAAATAAATTTTCTTCTCTACGAAATCTCCACAGATTTCCAAGGTTTATACCCCATATGAAAGCTAACTGAATGCAGATTCCGGGGTACGTCACGATTTAAAGGTCGAGATGCGTTTAATGGCCTAAAAGTCATGCCGAATCTCAAACCGTCTCAAACCACGAACCACACGCTAGTTTTCAATTATTTTATCAAGCATATCTCCACAGATTTCTACGTTCATTGCGTCAGTTAAAAGTTAAGTGAATACATATTCCTAAGACAATTAGGATAAGGTGGTCAAGATGCACTGCGGAACACGTCAACTGGCCAAGATTCGGTATTTACTGCGTGGAAGCATCGCATCCAGAACTGACAGGCAGCCCCTAAATTGACAAGAATATTTCTCCTTCCAGATTATCCCGTTATGACAGCTTTCTCCCTGTTTTTATAATAGCATGGGCTATTCATTGCAGTCAAATTCCCCACTAGTCGACACTATTTTGAATTTGCCGAATTCAAACTTCCGCCTGAACTTTTCAAGTTTCGATCGAAACGTCGCACATGCGCAGTTCGTGACATTGTCTCTTTAACTCTGGTAACAGGTTGCACTGCAGTACAATATTGTTTAATTCATTCACGATTAGTGTCAAGGCCTTTGATGAAAGCTAGAATTTAGCCTCTTCCAGACATTCAGTTACTAACTGAACGCCTGGAAGAGGCCAGGTAGAATTGAAACAAACAGTACATATTATAAACACGCAGGAAGCTACGTTTTGCTCCGCACTGTACAATGTTTGCGTCCTACTCATAATATAATTTATGTTTTGCAATCTCGTTTACGGCGTTATTTTGTGCCACTTAAGCACGAAGAGGGTTAGACGTAAACTCGTTTCATGATCCTGGAATACATTCATATAGATATTTCTTTTCCTGTCTCCAATTGAAATATGTTAAATAATTCAAGATCGTTCTTGTATGCCACTGTAACACCTACTGATATTTAAATCCAGTCTGTTCCAGTTACGAGTGAGCCACTACAACTGCGCCTGTTGATTGGCTGGTTGATTGAGCTTGGGGTTACGAGTGAGTGAGTGACTCATTTGCATACCAACCTCCACTACACACATCAGCTCAGGTACCAGCAAGTAAAAAATTGCTAGTGACGTCATTTAGCGTGTCCTGCAAAAGACCAATCAAATGTGAGAATAATTGGACATATTTTATAATTGTAAATAGAAGATTCAAATCACGAGGGAAGGGGGGGGGGGGCTTAACAGGGGTTTTACTGCATTGGGCGATCACACCACTGATGTTGTGAATTGAAGTCGGTACATGGATCGAGAAACGGGGAGCTGCAAAGGCCCACGAACATGTAAGGTACTGAGACATTCATCCTTCGGGAATCTCCGGAGAATAGCCGAGGGCAACGGAAATGCCATTTCAAAATTAAAGCCATCGAGACCCTGATTAATAAATTCAACAGTCTAAACGATGTTTTTTCGGCTCATATTGAAAGATTACGAGTAGAGTTTGCTCATGAGCATGATGAGATCGCGGTGCATCACGAGTCCAGAGCGTGTTTTTGAACTTTCCGAGTTTGGAGATGACTTGGTAAACATGTTTATGCAAATATGACAGTTTGGAATCGCTCCACTGTGTGGTGCTGAAAAGGAATCAGATTGTTTTCTTTCCTAGTCACGTTTGTTTTGTTCTGAGCACGTTTTCGTGACCCTTGGCACGCAATAGGTGCGAAAAACTATTCACGAGACAAGCCGATACGAAACGTGACTATGTTCTCCTAGCAAAGGTTGTTTTGAGGGAGGATTGGTAAGTTTCCCTGCTCCTAACAAAAGGGATAGGTCGACGTTCCTGATTCGTATAAAATCGCCGCTTTCCTTATTCCTAGACAATTCCTGTTTCACACAAGAATAATCTTAGGTATGTGTGAAGTCTTCGTGCTCTCAAGACCGACGATATACGTGGTTAACTATAATATTCAAGAGGTTGAGAAGGACAAGGAAAAAGAGAGTGAACAAGTAGTTTTAATGATCAGTTTTCTATTTTGGTGGCACTAAATAAAAGAGGTTTCATAACAAAGTACCAAATGTACAAAGTACAGAAAGTACAAAGTACCAAAAGGTGTTAGCCACACTCAACTGAACAAGATACGAGTTGTTCCATAATAATGTAAAAATAAGAATGAGGAACAGTTGCCAGGAAATGGCACTGTACTTCGTCAAAGAGTGACATGGCAGTATTCACTCTCTACGTGCCGTTATATTTGCATCGGCCTGGACCGACGAGTGACCCGATTAGGATAGGAAAAGTATTTCATCCATAGATACCAAAAGCCTTCACCAATTTAAGGTTACATAACTTGTAGTGAAAGGTTGGCAGTAAGGTTATATCCTACTTCTACATTTCAATGCAAAATCACATGGGCAACCGATGACGAACCAGACACCATCGTCAATATTGTTAGGCTGTCAAAAAAGAATTTGGCAACGAGAATGACAATAGAGACCCTTTGATAAATGGCCTCAACCCTTTCGTCCTAACATACCGTACCATAACATTCTAGTCTGCTCAAAGATCATCGTCGAAGGCGAACAGCAGTCGTGCAAACGCGAGAAGGGGAAAGGAGTGGCTAAATTCTGTTCGGCTGCGAGTTCCTTCTCGCGTATCAAAATAGAAATGGTTGTGGGCACATATCCATTACGATAATGAAGTGTAAAGATCAGTGAATTGGACGCTTCCAGGGATGCGTAGTATACCGTTGTTGAAAACAAACACTTTCCTTCCCTCACGATCAGTACTCAGCTCTCCTTGTTTTTCATTCATCTCAGTTCTCAAATCGTTATAGGAAGTATGACTTCTGGGAATTCATCAAGCCCACGAGCAAATTAAAACCATTCATTGAAAAACGTGCTTTTTACAATGAGAAGAAAGCAGTATTTTTGAGACTGCTGCGAAAATACATGCTACCAGATGTGCACAGAGCATTTATGTGTTTGTCAACTCTTGGTTCTCAACCCAAGATCAGACATTTGACATTTCTGACTACAAGGACTGGTTGTTTTGAGTAAGGAAGTATGTTTTTTCCCAATCAAAAGAAACATAACGTTTTTAAAATGATATTCCATTTACATGGTACTCTTTATTTTATCTGTAAGATAAAAGGTAAAATCACTCAATTCTAATATTTTGGCAAAGGAAAATACGATTATAAATAAATTCTAGCTATTCTTTTAAATGAAACACATACTAACTGAGGATGTCTACAAAGTGAACGTCCATAATCCAACGGTTCACTCCTTGTTGTCCACTACAATAATATATTTACGAATCATTTTAGATAACCATTAATGTTATAAAAATTGTCTTAGCATCTTTCTCCCACGAAACACACCGTTCTGTCTGTCAACATGCAGGCTGATTAAATCAGACCCTTTGTCGTGATATTCTTGCTTCAGGTCAACATATTTCTGTTTATTTCTGTCCCTTGCAGTTTGACTGCAGAATCTGCTCCAACACAGACCGTTTCCACGATAACAATCTTGGCTGTTTTCTGTATCTACAACTTTCATCGACAATGTTTAGCTAACAGAGTATGGTCATAGCTCTGTTACAAATGATGTAGCTTTCTTGTGACCAAAATATATCACCACTGCCTTTGTTATCTGAGTGTTTCTCATAATGAACTAAACATCACTTTCCTCTACTGGGATGCCATGGGTTAAAAGTACAAGCAGTTGCTCATTGATTCTAACTCTTTACATACAATACTGCAGCAAGGGTTCCAAGTCCAAGCGTTGTGTACAAAATGCCATTCCACCAACCCTTTTCCCTCTCATCTTGGAGGTCTTTGAATTGTTCATAAAATGCATCCTAAACACAGAGAAGAAATATTTCAAAGGTTAGAAAACAATAAATGAACTATAAACTATTGTTGTCAAGGTTTAAGGCAGGCATAGACGCATTTCTAAGAAACATTTAGCGCTGACCCAGGGAGCAAGAAAAAAAACCTGCATCTTATCACGCATGCATGATCATGCTACTTAAAATTGTTTCTGTAGTTAAACCTTGCACTCCAAAGACCAAGGAAACTGAATATGTTACAAGCAAATGTTTCGGTTTACATATTGCTAGGTGTAAAGAATGCTTTTAGCAATCCGAGGTTTTCCCTCTTGGGAATAAAACGAACATGCTTTCTAAAGCATTTATTTCCTTCTAAGAAACAATTGACATAGTTCGCATGGCCCAATACAAAAATCTACTTAGGAAAATATGCGAAATATGGAACACCCAAGGAAAGAAATTCAAAAGAGCCGCTTCTGACAACGAAGTTCGATATGTATTCTGAATAAAAAGTACTGAGTTTTCTGCTCGCAAGAATCATCTAGACTGATACAAGAAACACTCAACATTATGATCTGCACGGCCTAAAAACGTGATCATCAGCGGAAGGGTGTTCTCATGTGATCTAAACGATCCCACCATTTTTGGTCAAAAACGCATCTTGTCTCGGGCAGGCCGCTATCAGTTAAATATTCTATTGCCATTCAATTTCACTTATCATCCAAAAAATCTTACTACTAAAAAAATGGTAAAAGGCATATAGATTATGAATATTCACATCCCCTTCAGTTAAGTTTACACATCTGCACGTAATCGTTTTCCGTGCGAAAACGGAATTTATACCACACGAACATGGCTGAAATGCCCTCGCGTAATCGCCTTTTGACAATGAGATATATCCTGTAGAATTTCCCAGAGTGATTCTAAACCCAGAATGACTAAATTGCTAAGACTTCCACCAAACAGCTGCCCTCATAAATTATTCACATTGTTTTCAGTTTATAATTTTGCGCCCTTCATTGAAACTTCCCGTGGGAAAAACCGAAATTTTCCGGCTCCTTCTTCCCGTTTATCAATTCCAAATCCTTCTCATTAGCTATATTAAGGCCTCATGGTGAAAAAGAAAGAAAAAACAGCCTCTATGTGCGATTTTTTCTTTCATTCATGTTTGATAATCAGAAGTGTGTTCATGTGGCAACTAGTAGGTTTCACATAACGTAAAATTACGCGAATAAATTAAGGAAACTTTCTGCTCACCCATCCTCCTGCTTTTCTTATCCATTCGGTAAAGGTTCTTTGGCAAACATACTCCGAAAGCCACCTCACCACGTCGTCGACAATATCGATCTCTTGCCGGCTGCAGAACGAAGCGACTTCGGCCGCGAAGCAGTACAAAACTACAATCCGGCCCCAGTTGATACCTGTGCTGAAAATTTCATCGGCAACAGTTCTAAAAGTGATTTCGGCCGTTGAAGCCCTGATGTCGAGCTTGTTACACATATTTTTCAGTAACGCTTCGTGCCTTGTTTCAATTTCGCTGCCAATCTTCCGGAGAGTAGCAGCAACTTTTGTATTCGCCCTGTACGCTTCCTTTCCCAGTTTGTTGAAATAAATATAATCGCCTACCAAGTCGTGAGCGATTTTTTCTTCTTGGGTTTTCATTCTTCGGCTCACAGATATGTTTGGAGTATGAGGAGCTTCTGCCGGTGCCATTTAAAAACGTTTCAATGAATGTACGATAAAAATCCTTTGGTCGTTACGAAATAGCTCTCTCGTCTCAGATGTGTTCCACGACAAAGACGCGATCCGTTTTATCAGTTCTCAAGGGAAGCATAGATGCAACGACCTGATTGGTCGATAAATTTAGAATGGCATCACTGAAATAACCCGTTGCTAACGACATAGAGGGACATTGCATTAGTCCCGAGGGCTTGACGTATATGGCATTGTTTTCCGTCACGTACGAATAGGTATCCAGAAAAATCGATAAACGTTTCAGAAAACGACTGAAACCCAAACCAGGCTCTACACTGTAACAAATTTCGTGTTTTTTCTGCAATTAGCACTATGTTTTAAATGGTGTTTAATTTAAGTGCAATTTCTAGAAATGAAGGATGATTGATTAAAATTCTGAGAAACGTTCTACCACCATCCGGTATCGTCAGTATTTTAATCTGGATTGTTTTGAATCATCTGCAGCGAAGCGTTGCGGAAACCCGAAGTTTCCTACCACTCTAGCTCTGCTTTCCGATCCTGTCTAGAGCGCGACCTAGTAGGCAGATCAGCAAACAAACTTTCCTTCGTTCGTGAGAAGATGGGGGCGAGGTAACCGGAGGCGAAGTTGTCGAAAAGTCATAATCATAAATAACCGTGTTATCTTTCCATGACAATCGTACCGTAGATCTAATTTATTCCCTTTACAGTAATACCGGCGATCGCGGGTCCGGTCTGAAACATTCCAGGCGAAAGAAAGAAAAAAGAAAGCTAGGGCCCTAAGGGAAGAAGAAAACAGCTCAGGCCTGATCTAGATTGCAGGTTGCAATGCGAATAACAAGGGCAAGCTTGCTGTTTATTTTGCATGCAACTTGTCAAGTCTTGCATCATTCCGTGCATGTAATGCCTGTGTAAACACAATAATACATTCATATGCAGATTACATAAGTAATATTGGAAATGTGGCTGAGCTGACTGAGAATGCTCGAAGAGCGAAATATATATCGAACGCCTGCGATTTTACACTTTTCGTTTTTTGTTTTTTGCTTTTTTATCGTTTTGAAGTTATTTTAAGTTTGTCGAGCGTGTCAGTATAAAAGACTTGATGTCTTTTCTTCTCGTTTAGCACTGGGTTCACTAGGGAAATTGCAACAAAATTCATTTTCAATAGCAATCTTTTACATATAGTCGCCTTAAAAATGAATAGTTGTGATTTTTAGATATTAATGCTTAAGCGCCCTCAAACTTTAAGGAGACAGGCGCTGTACAAATATTTTATTATCATTATTTATTATTAGAAAACCGAATCCTGTATTAATATTGTCCAGTTTCATCTCCAAGAGCGTTTCAGACCGGACGTATAAGCACAGTCTCAGCTGACAAATGTTTCGGTTTCTACATGTATTGTTTGAAGATTTGATTTAAAAAAAAAAAAATTAATACCGAGGCGTCTCCGGTCAAGTACATACATTATTAATTTGATATGAACGTCATTTCGCTTATGACGACAACCGCTGCCGACTGCTTGACTATTTATAGTTGTGGTACGCAAATCGTGCTCAATACTTCGCAATATTTGAGAATTGATAGAGATTTCTTTAATACCTCAAATGACGTACGGTCTTGAGACAGGTGCAGAGCCCCTAAAATATCCTACAGTGGTAATATTTCGGTTTCCCAGGAGATTGTAATTATCTGTATTTGTCGAGGTGGAAATCAAAGAAGTGGCTTTTTATTCGTGAAAATATATTACACTTTCTGTATTTTTTTTATTTTCTAGCATGACGTTGAGACTTCAAGTATAGTACCCAAGATATGCGGTTTAGATTTTTTTATTGAAGTTTCGACGACCTGTGAATCTGCAAGATCAGTATTTTTATCCGAGTTGTGTGTCTTTACGGCTACGGTTACGAAAAAATATCAGAAAAAATAATAACGAACCTTGTGTGTATATAGTATGATCAGTACAATTCAAGCGGTTAGTCAAGTTCATTGTATCTATAGGCGAACAAAGCTTTGAATTAGAAAGTGGATAGTTTGACTGAAAAATATGATGTAACATAGTGTCTGTCGTAGCCGACAGGCCGATATAGTCAATACGTTTGTTGCTAGGAAAACACTAGAAAACCACATTAACAAAGCTAGAAAATTAAAGTAATGAGACGCACAAGCTGATCATGAGGAAACAGAGATGCCGACACGAAATTTTACTGTGTGATTTTGTCAGCAATATTGACAACAAGCAAGTAAATACACATGAAAAGAAGTAAAATTCTTCATAACATTCCAAAAAAACTACGAATGAATTGTTCCGAAACCAAGAATAAACGTTTTGATTTTAGAGTTTAATTAACGGATTTCAACGATTTTTGTGTGGCTTATATTATATTTTGTATACCACGCACGTTGACAATGGCCATTGCCTGCGTCGCAGACGCCACATATATACCGCGGTTTGCTACATGAAGCTTATTTACAGGAAAATTTTCGTCTGCAACGCAGGCTAGTTGCAAACGGCGCTGATATTTGTGCACTAACTAAACTAGGGTAAACCACCAGGGACATTGTTCTTGGTATTATGAGATTGTCCCCTTACTTTCTTTCGCAATTAAAATTCTTGTCTGACTTATTACGAGTAAGAGGCTTTTGCTCTTTCCCTTAGAGACCTTAGAAAACCGAGATAAGGAAACGACTTTCCAGGACGGAGTCTGCCGGAGTGCATATGTTTCATAACAGTCTACTAGTGCTTGCTATTTTAACTTGTTACTCAGCTGAAAAATATTTCACCCTTTAAACCCAGATGCCAATATACAATTCTCAAATTTTTCAATTTCCTTTATTTTAATGTCTTCCAAGCACCGGAGATGCCAATCTCTGTTACCTTTAAGAGTCAAAATAGTCTCTTGAACCGTTACGTTCACTGAAAAGGAATTTGCCCGTTTAAAATTGTGATTTCTAGTCAAATAAATCAGACACGGGTACAGTTTCCGGAAAATTCGGTAAGGAAATTATGGAGTACTCTCCAGTCTTTCCGGTTTAATAGAACGGAGCAGCGATTCCTCGTGGACCACTGTACGCTTACATTATTCACATACATTATCAATATTTCTATATTTGGAGGTTTATTTGAGATAACACACCAGTGATCGAACGACCATGATGTCTTCTTCGTCAAAAAGTGTTCGAGTCGACTTGATCAATCAAGTTTGTTTAATGCAAAAATTTTAATGATACTGACAGCAAACTGACCGAAAGAAGAGGGTTTCGTCCTTACAGCGAGGTCAATTGTAATGGAAGAAACTAGCTCTGTCTTCAATTAGAGAAGTCAAATAAACCAGTTTGTTGATGTACCCGGCGCTAGTCGGCCTGCGTTGCAGGCATAAACAGGAAGGACAGGAAGGGATATACCCCCGGGGTATACCCCGTCTTTCCTTCAGCGTCTTTCAATTCCGCACTACGTCCCAGTCTCCTCCGTTTTGCGCCTGCTTCGCACGCGATCCTGAGTCTGGGAACAAACCTGCTCTGTGTCGACACTCGTACCATTGCCTTTCTTCAGTTGGCCGGTGAGTTTGGCAGACCTCAGGCTTCACCTTCATACAACGGTCACCAAAATCTGTTTTTCCTTTAGATGACAAGTGCACTTCATTCCAAATGAGATTTCAGTGAGTCAAAATAATATCACCATCCCGGAATTGAACAGCGACTTGTCCTATTCTATGATAAAAGTTCACAGTTTCTATCGACTTTATAGTTGGTCTGCTCTCAATCTTAATCGGAAACTTTTTCTGAGTATCAGATTTGAACTAGACTGCTCACAGGCCTCTATTTTCTCGTATTTTTATTCATCTTTGAACGCGCGGGTAGAAACAAAATACGGTAGAGTTGACGGGGTAGTGGGTGGGGACCTGATAAGTTTGACTCGCTTTGCTCGCTCCGCCGCCCCCAACCCCACGCGCTTCGCGCTCGCGCTCGCATCGCTCGCTTTTTCCTTCGCGTGCGTTGAAAAATCGAGAGGTTGTGAACAGTCCAGAATAGAGCATAATGGCGAGACTTGCTGAGTCTCGAGTGCATGATAATCACTGAGTGAAGAGGAAAAACTGGCTTAACTTGGACAACTATAGTAATATGTTTATTAAGCACAATTCGATTCAACTAAAATAAGATCTTCAGTAATACGCGCCTCAGGTACTTTACAGGATACGTGAAGAATATTTAGATCAACAAAGAACTAAAGAGTGACCTTATTTTGAAATCTTCTAGTTTCTCTTTGCTTTGACAACATTCCTGTCGAGGAGAGTCAAGTTCCCAGGGCATCCGAATTTAATGCTCTTTGTGCAGCACTCAGTCCCTTTGATAATTCTAATTAATATGAGTTTGCTCTCTTTTCGGTAACGTTTCAATCCTCGTTGAGCCAGCACACAATACGTATATTCCTCAAAAGCAAGCGAAGGATCGATTGCCAATGCTTCGTTCCTTATGAAAGCCCACAGAAATCTATACAAACAGGTGCAGAAGAGAAAGGAACTTGCTACGAGGCTTGCATTGATTACATCACCAGACATTATGCACTGGCGAAGCGGCAGACAATTTCTTATTGGCGTGGCGTCATTCATTTTTGGTTGTATTTTGACTCTTTTTCTTTGTTCGTCCAATGAGTCAACGTTGGACTTACCGAGTTCCGCACCGAATCAAGCGATAAAATATGCAGAAGAAGATTCGAAACAAATTCGCGAGGAGCCTATTAAGGAAATGAGTACCGTGCAAATCGACACGAATTCGCCGACCACAACATCTTTTCCAAAACCTACCTTGCCTCCATATCCGCCTGTATCAAATGGGAAACCGATTGTGCTGACTCCTTTCAACTGCAATGAAGACGCATTTCTCATTATAATCGTAGTTTCTTCAAGCAGGAATTTCGAAGCGCGCAAATCTATACGCTCTTCCTGGGGGAAAAGCATCTCGGAAGTGCGGCGCTTCAATTCGAACTCCACGCGCGAATCTTTTCAAGTGTTTTTCGTGGTAGGAGGCGACGAAGTCAACGACGAAAGAGTCGAAAAAGAAGCGGAACAGTACGGAGATATTTTGCGCGGAAACTTTATGGACACTTACGTTCAAAATGAGCTGCACACAGTCAAGACTCTCTTGGGGCTGAAATGGGCCACCTCGATTTGTAACCCAAAGTACATCTTAAAAGTCAACTCGGATTCATTTGTTAACGTCCATGAGACGATTAAATGGCTGTATTCACTAGGAGGCAACAGCGAGGCTGACTTCAAGCCTAAAGAAGGCTTATACACAGGTTACTGTCATCGCGGGGTAAGGCCGGTCAGAAACCCGCTAAGTGCTTATTTCATCTCGGAGGAGCAATGGTCAGACAATACTCTACCACAATACGTGTCAGGTGTAGGGATTGTGCTTTCGCCTGATGTTGCCGAAAAGATGGTGAAACATGCTCTGAAGGTAATATAATTAGAAAATTTAAACCTTTGTGTTGCGTAAAATTAAATTTATCACTTCAGATTTTGCTAATTAACATTATTTGGACTTCCCAGTATCCCCGTAGCTTTGGAACTGTCTTTAGATACATATTGACAGATACTCCGTGGTTGAAACAAAGCACTTGCGCGCAAATCTCGCCTGTGAAGTAGCCGCTATTAAAAAGCGGGATTGTAATCAGGACGCAAACTTTAAAGTGCAACAGAACCAGCACCCTTGTACCCGAGCCCTCGGCCTGTTTGCGCTAGACTTGTTCAACTATGCGTTGCAAATTCATATGCATTGGTAAACGCCATGGTAAGCGCACAATATGCAGACGTATTAATTAAGCATAGTACAGTAACTTATATTTAATAGAAAACACTTAACATTATTATTAACTTGTCCTATTTGCACATTATAGATGAAACTAATTCACATCGATGATGTTTTTCTTGGAGCTATGGCAAAAGATCTTGGTACGGGATTGATTGACGAAAGTTCTCGTTTCGACATCGCTTACACCACGATGCTCACCGAGTGCGAAGATCTTCATTTTTGTGTCCTTGGTGGCGTTCCCGCAAAGGACATGTTTTATCTAAGTCAGAATGTGGGACATCTGAGAGAACTTTGCCCTGATGAAGAACCTAAAAAAGACTTACCTTTAAATTTAATGTATCTACAAGGCACACAAACTACAAATCAGCCTTTTCCCCCAGAAATTTAGGTTTTTACGTCGCGCAAATGATTTGACATTTTAACTTTTATATTTAACCCTACTCAGAACCACGTTTAGTGCTTGTTGCTATAAAATGACAATATTCGACCAACAAAAAATAAAGAACGTAGTGGCGTGGCTCGACCATCGCTCCCCCCGGGGGAGTACTCTACAAAGTTTTATACGGAAGTACTCTACAAAGTTTTAACCCCTCCTTACCCTTTTGTATACCATTTTGACACAAAGCGACGCCTTTCGCATATCTTTTGTTGGAAAAAGGTACTCCTTTCAGATACCTACTTAACCCTTTTAAACTTTTTCTCGCCTATTTTCATGTAGTGCTAATAAATCAAATGATACAGCCATAAGGTGCTCTTCCTCAACTTGAGAAATTCGTACTTTTTTTTTTGTACAGCTAAAGCCTGAAAAAGGCACCCCTTTCGGGGGTAGTCACCCAGTTATAGAGTTTAGGCCTTTAAAAGGGAGGACCTCCAGTTCCCGAGCCATGCGTGCTTTGTATGCTGCGGTAGTTTTAAATAGCATGTATTTCCTCTCTAGAGCCTTTATTCTTTGTGATAAGCGGCAAAGACAAGATACGGAAAATACACCTTGATAAGAGCTAACTTGTAGCCCTCCTTAAAAACGGAATGCTTTATAAAAAAAATCATTACAAGTTGTAAAGAAGACAAAACAAGCTAATTAGAGGGATATTACAGAAATCCAGATTAACTGATGTGTGTTTATTTAAAATAAATAAAGGAATAAATAAAGATCACAAGGTCGCTCATGCTCAAAGAAAGAAAGAAAGAAAGAAAGAAAGAAAGAAAGAAAGAAAGAAAGAAAGAAAGAAAGAATGATTGAACTCGGGTAGCAAGGGTTCACGGGAGACTTTAACTCGCTGAAAGGCTTGGTTCCTAAGTTCGAAACAACGAAACAGTGTGATCAGTGTGATTTTCGTGTTTTCCAGTGTGTGCAACTTTTGCACGGGTTATTTTCCTCAAGATTTGCTTTCCTCATCTCGGACTCTTCACAGAATGACTCGTAAGTACTTCATCTAACTATCTCACAATTTTTGTGTAGAGAAGTGTTTGCCGTTGTGCGATTTTAGTGGAATCTTTCGTATACATGTTCATAAGCGAGACATCTAATTTTTTTGAGACAGTGATCGTGTCATGTTTCTTTTGGCCGCTACCCTTTATCAATCGCTGGTCGATTCAGTAAAAGCGCTAGGTTGATAGACATTAAATGACTGTTCTGTTTCTTCTAAGAAGCGGCATTGAACACAAGTGCAAGATTTTGCTAATCTCGATTTAAACAGTCTTCCTGAATGTACACATGTATGACAAAGTTTTTTTGTAAAACGACTATTACAATAATAAAGCTTGTTCACTTTGAAAGTCACAGCAATCCGAACTTAACTTTAATGATAAACATAGCCGATGGTTATTTTCTTTTTCTTCGATGTTTCAAAAGCGCTAAAATGAATAGTTTAAATAATTAATCGTGGAGGAATCGCGGAGTTAAGCTAAACGTGCCAAATTAAGAGGTCAACAGTAAATTATTGTTTAGCCGCTTGCTCAACATTAGACACAAGGTTTGTTCATCTCGTTATTTGAAATCTACATGGGGTGGCATTAAGCACTTAATGACTGGCCCCAAGGGAAACAGTGAGTTTTGTCTCCCTGAGACCCTCAATGTTCCCCAAGGCAAAGCCGAGGGGAACGTTGAGGTCGAGGGGAAACAAAACTCACAGTTTCCCACAGGACCAGTCATTAAGAAAGACAACTGCGAAGAAATCATTTGCTTGACACTGGCTGGCTCTCAGATTTGCCGCAGTTTCAAGAAGCATGAGCTGATCATGTGTGAGTCGAAAGTTCAAGTTGTTGTTTCCCTAGGGAGTTAACGAGTTGTGTTCATCCTAGGGAGTTAGTGAGTTTTGACCCACGACACATGGCATGTTCTTCTCCAATTGCAAAATGTATTTGAGTTGGAAGGTATAGCAAAATCCTTTATTACTCCTCTCTTCAATATCAGGGTTACCCATTCTTCTCTTTCCTCATTTCAAGTTGTAAGCCGTAGACAATTCTTGATTTCCTTCTCCTATTATAATCATCTGTAGCATGGTTACAGACTAACTTGAATACCCAATGGTTCATTTGGCACATAGCACCAAGCTGACTTTGTCACAATCATCTTTTATCCAACAAGGGCAAATGGAATAAGATTGTTTCATTGAATTCTTCAATCGACAATTGAGTTCCTTATTTTTTGGTATTTCTCTGTTTTGAGCAAATAGAGATCATTGCTAGTAAGTCTTGCAAGTTGTTTGGAATTTGGATGTCTCCTGTTTATGGTGTTTACTCAGATACCCCATAAATAAAGTACCTAGTTACTAGTGGTGGGCTGATGATCGATTATAATCGAAAGTTGATCGAAAAGTTCAAGCAACGCGACAATCGCTTATGCTTTTTTCATAATCAATGGTTGCGGAAAAATTAAAAATTTATTGGGGACAAATAAAAGTATTAAAATCAGTGAAAATGTACGTTTAATATCTTGGTGTGAGTTGTCTTTTTTCGTGGACTCCTAACTTCTAAGTCATAACAGCAGATATAATCTAAGATTGAATGTGTTCACCTGTACATACCCTGCGTGCTGTGTTGTTGTCACTTCAAATACACCACACTTATTTGAAAGATGTGGCATGCTAAGTTGCTTTGTATTTTGTAAACAACTGGAGCAAAACATAAATTACAAGCTCGCTGTTTCGCGTTTGTAGTGTCACTACTATCACTAGCGAAAGAAAGGTAATAAGAAACAACATCGCTGCGAAATGTCGCCTCAAATTAATTCCCAGGGTCCTCTCTCAGACCTGCCTCGCTTACATGTTGCTGACAAGTCCAACATGGTGGCTGAAATGGCTGAGTGGGAGATCCTTCGTTATCCTGGAAATGCCAGGTCAAAAGTGTGGGAATATTTTGGTTTTTATCAAGTGAAGGAAGGGCCCAAAACAAAAGAAAACTTGGATATGACAAAGGTAATCTGTAGGCTCTGCAGAAAGCAATACACTAACAAAGGTTTGTGGCACGTTTGTTTTGTTGATTTCGTGTCAGTCTCATGGAATGCTTATTGGTAGATTTTTCCGATTATAGTCAATGATCGATCGGTTGGGGCAATCCGATTATTTCCTACGATTGATTGCGAAATCTCAACCGATTCCCTGCACTACTAGTTACAATTTTGTACTAACACATCAGTGAACTATTAATTGGATGTTACCAAAATTATCAGTTAGTTACCCATTGATGTAAGTATGATGAATGCTGTATTTTAAGTCAAAACACTGAGAAACACCTGCAATCCTCAGCCTGATTTCATGTCAATACTTTAACCCAGGATGTCAGTGTTTTAGAAATTCCAATGCTAATAGTTGTTCCAGTTGCATTTTGGTCCATTATAACAATGACAGTAATTGTTGTTATTAATTTAAAAAGGACTCCAAAAGGTACCAAAATTATCTCTTTTTCTGGGGATGTGTGGAATTAAGTTTAAGAGTACTGTGATGACTGTGTTAGAGACTGCTTTGCTTGCATGTTAACTGTGGACAATTAATACTGATAGTACATCATAAGTGGTACCAAAATACCAATATAATTTTGAGTGCCCTGAGGTAAAACATGCATACGTGCATCTTTGTCAATACTATAATGGTAGTTAACTCCTTCAGTAACTGAGCTTCAGATGAACTGGATTATATAGAGGCCCATGGCCCACAACTTTTTGGTTAATTAAGATGGCACATATATATCCATCGTTATGAAAACAGCAAAAGAAAGATTAACTGTTTGAATTAACAAAATGATTTAGGCTGATAGGGCTCACTAATAGGTATAAATAGAGATGCATTCAAGGACAATAATGGGAAATCTTATGGAGCTAGACAATTAAAAAGAAAAAAAATGTAGCACTGAGTCAGAAAGAAAGATCTTGCCAAACCAAAATTACAGAGTGTCATCACACATGGTGTCAAGAATAGGCCCTTTTCAGCTAAGCCATCACGTAACCTACTTTTCATAAAATTATGGGCTATAACTTTAAAAATACCAGAAATGGAAAAAGCATGTCAAAAATATCAAAATGGCCAAGTTTAAGGTCCCCATCATGAAAGAATGAGACTTACTTACAGTCTGAATTTTTGAAAAAAATAAGAAGATTTGTATGGAAAAAGTTGTTGGAGAGCAAGGC